AAATAGAAGGAATATGGAAGGAAAAGAGAAGGAAATAGAGGGAATATGGAATGATATGAAAGGAATATAGAAGAAAAATGGAAGTAAATAGAAGGAAACTGGAAGGAAATAGAAGGAATGGAGAAGGAAATAGAAGGAATATGGAAAAAATAGAAGGAATAAAAAAATAGAAGGACTATAGAAGGAAATAGAAGGAATATGGAAGGAAATAAAAGGAATATGGAAGGAAATGGAAGGAAATAGAAGGAATAGGGAAAGAAACAGTGAGTGCTGAACCTCATTGAAGGGATATTTTCCTGCTGATACCAAATGACTAATTGTGCTTTTATAATCAATTATTGAAGCCTGGATGAGAGAGGAGAGCTCCTTCAACAGCCACTGCTTTACAAATCAGGCTCTGGCTGCCACAAAACACAAATCAGCCTTTCCTCCAGTGGCTGGTTGTGAAAAGAAATCTGTGTGAAGGGTTTGATTACTCCCCTAGCATTTTTTGTTGGTTTTGTTTTGTTTGTGTCATTGGTGCTTTTTTCCCAGTGTGTTCTTGGTGTTTCATTTGAGTTGCAGCCCCAAAAATGGAACAGAAATGGGTTTTTGCTCAAGGGACTCAAAGTGATGAATGAACTTTGTTCTTTTAGTGATTTTATCAAGAGGCTGCTCAGATCATTTAAACTGAGTGAGGGAACATAGAAGGAAATAGAAGGAAATCTTGAAATATTGGGAAATAGGAGGGAATCTTGGACAAGGGACCAAAAGGAATCAGCACCGGTGGGGAGTCAGCAGAAATAGAGGGAGTTTTGGGGAAAAAATGCAGGTTTTTGATAAGTTTTGGGTGATGGGGACATGAAAACACCACTGAGAAGAGAATTATTAGCTCTGCAGCACTGGGGGACAGCTCAGGCTCAAGGAGGTGTTTCCTTGGAGGAGGAAGAGCAAAGTGAAAGGAATAAATTGTCAGGGGGGCAAAAAAAAAACTTTTTTAAAATAAAGTTTAAAAACTTTAAGCCTTATTTACAAATGAAGTTTTGTTTGGGGGAGGTGCCAGCAATCCTCTGCCTCTCCCCGGGGAGGAATTGATCCCATTAAATCCATCAGGGAATTCACAGCAGAGCCAGGGACATCTTCTGTCACACCCCTAATGCACAGAGACAGGCTCAGTGCTGCCTGGCCCGCAGAAAAAATGAATTTTTCTCCATTGATTCGTGTCCTGCTCTGAGAATCAAGGGGGGTTTAGGTGCATTCGTTAAGGAAATCAGGTTGGGTCAAGCGTGTGGGGGAAAGTTCTGGAGGAACCTTGGGATTTGGAACTGTGACATTCACCTAATCTAGATTGGATTTGGATAATCAGTCTAGATTAGATAAAAATGCTGTTTACAATGTTGTGATACAGAGAGAAAATCTGTTCTGGGGAGGAGGAGCCAAAATGCTGCTCCTGTGTCCATCTGAGGCTGGGAGGGGCAAACAGAACTTGGATGAAACTGGGTGCAAAAAGATGATTTTTGTTCCTTTTATTCTCTCTGGATCTTTTCAGATTTTGGTTCCAGGATTCAAAGATGTAGGTTTTGATCTTTGTTGTCTTCCCATAAATACCTGCAGAGCTCTGCCATCAACACCAAATTCCTTCAGAGCTTCCAAGAGTTGTGGCCCTCACTGAGGGCTTCATAAATATTTCTGTATTTCATAAAAAAATACAATATCCTGAACTGAAGGTGACCAAAAGAATCCCTGAGCCCAGCTCCTGGCTTTGCACAGGGTTTGCTTGTAAAATCAGCATTTTATCCCCAATTTTATTTTTTTGGGAAAGTACAGGGAAATGGTGTGTGGGTGGAGTAACACAGGGAAAGGAGAGAAAGCTGGGAAAAGCGGAGTGTGATGTCCCAAACCACAGGCTGGCAGCCTTGCCCGTGCTTTGCTGCCTTCCTCCAGGCTTTACAAACACTTTCATAACTGTGCTGAGGGGAGGAATTTCTGCTCTGCCCTCCCAGGCACCGAGGTGGGTGAATCCGCTCTATTTCCCTTCTGCTGTGCGGGCTGGCTGTTTCTCTATGGGGTACCTGAGGTAATTTTGAAAATTTGCTCCCCTGCACGAGGGTGAAGCTGAAGCTGGGCTCTAAAGGTGTCTCTGTGTGCCTTAAAGCGCCCTTTGGGAGGGAGTTCAAGCTCACACCCCGTAGCCACCAATTTCTGCTTGGTTGAGCTTTGCCCTCGTCGGTGAAGCGCGGCTACGACGTGAAATTAAATCAGTTTTTAGGGGATTTCTTTCCCTCCTAAAAACACAAAAAGAAAGCCACGCAGCAGGCAGAGAGAGGGTTCAGCAAGCCTGAAATCTCCAATTTCCAGTGCAGAAAAGAGCCCAAAGCTAATGAATCCATGGGAGTGTGTTTGTCCTCCTGAGGAGCTTTTTCCAAGAGTCTCCCTCCAACCCCTGAGTGTCGAATCTGATTTTTTTTTTCCGTGCTGGATTTTTTTTTCCCCCTTTTTTTTTTTTTGCTGCCTCCAAACTTAACTGTTTTGCCACTGGAGAAACCCTCCTGTTTTCTCTGTTAAATATCCGTATTCTTGCTGGAAATCTACCTCACCCACATGACTGGTCTTCACTATTAATCCCAGCTGATGGCAGGGAGGGGCTCCAGTGGGAGGCAGCCATGTGGTGAACATTGAGCTCAGTGTTTCCCCCCCTGCTTCTCTCCTCTCCACACAGGCAAAATTGTTCTGTGCTGCCGTGGATGTGAAGAACTCTCCGTGCTGCTTCTCCCCCAGAAACTCCCAGGGCCTTGAATTTGCAGCCCTCAAAAAAAAACCAAAAAAAAAATAAAAATAAATCCATCAGGATCTGGATGGAAGATGGAGCAGGGGGTGGATAGCAGGAGGGAAGAAAGAGTGAAGTTGGTGATTTTTCTGGCACATGGATGCAATTACACTCGGTGCATTCCAGAGGCGTTCCTGTGAACGCTCCGCAGGTCTGCCTGCCGTCCTTGGGAGAGAGGAAGAAAAAGGGAGGACAAGTCCCTCGTGCTGCGAGACGGAATGTCTGCATTTCCAATCCTCTTCTTAGGTAGGCTGGCTTTTTTTTGGTGTTGTTCGCTTTTTATTTAATCAAACTTCCACCGGTCTGCTCCGTGTGTGTCTGAAATTCGTCGCTGGCGAGTTGGAGAAAAGGGGTTTGTAAGGAGGAAACTTTTGTGGAAAACTGTAATTTTCAGTGGTGTTGGAGTTCTTATCCTTTTCTGGTCACTTTATGAGCAGGTTGACAGCCAGAGATCTCTGATTAATCCAGATTAATTTTAAAAAGTGCTGCTCCAAGAGACTCATTTGTGTTTGTTGTTTGAAGAGAGCAGCGCTTTTCAGGGATAAAGGAGAGAAAGGCTTGCAGCTCTTGGGCAAAACAAGGTTGAATAAAATGTCTTTGTTTCAGGCAGAGTGTCAAATTTGTGTAACTGTGTGGAATTGCTGGGCACTGAGCGTTCAGATGTTGAAAAGAAAAAGGAGTTATTGTCTGCAAGGGGCGGCTGAGATTAGAAACAGATGTGCTGGAGTGCAGCAGGGGGAGAAAGGGATGAGGGAAGGGGGGAGAGAAAAAGGGGGAGAGAAAAGCGAGAGAGGCTGGTTTGGTGAGGAGGAGAGAATGGAAAAAGAGGAAGGAGGAAAAGGAGAGTGAAGGGAAGCTGGAGGGAAGAGAGTTGGCAGCCCTGAGGGCTCCTGTGCCTCCCTCCTGCTCACCCCGCGCTGCTGACAGCACCAGCCCTGCCTGGGCAATGCCTGGGCAATGCCAGCCCCTTCCAGGAGCTGTGGGCGCTGGCACCTGGCACAGGTGTGACAGCGGGCTGGCTCTGCCTCCCTGGGAGGGGCTGAGGGCAGAAATGGCATTTTTGAACGGCTCTAAAGGATCGTGGCGGGGAAAACCCTGTTTAGGGCTCCCAGGTGTGGGATGTGGACTGGGGAGGGAGGTTTGGTGGTCAAATTCAACATTTGTGCAGCTGCTGATAAATGGAGAAGTGGCTTTGGACCTGGGGATTGGGAAGGTTTTTCTCTGTGGGGCTCTGGGGTTTGTAGGGCTCCAAGGTTTCCTCTGTGGGGCTCTGAGATTTTTCCTCTGTGGGAATCTGGGGGTTTTCCTCTGTGGGGCTCTGAGGTTTTTCCTCTGTGGGGCTCTGAGGTTTTTCTCTGTGGGGCTCTGAGGTTTTTCCCTGTAGGGTTCTGGGGTTTTCCTCTGTGGGGCTCTGAGATTTTTTCCCTGAGGTTTTTCCTTGTAGGGCTTTAAGGTTTTCTCTGTGGGGCTCTGAGGTTTGTCCTCTGTGGGGTTCCAAGATTTTCTCTGTAGGGCTTTAAGGTTTTCTCTGTGGGGCTCTGGGGTTTTTCCCTGTAGGTCTTTAAGGTTTTTCCTCTGTGGGTCTCTGAGGATTTTCCTTGTAGGGCTCCAAGATTTTCTCTGTAGGGCTCTGAGGTTTTTTCTCTGTGGGGCTCCAAGGTTTTCTCTGTGGGGCTTTAAGGTTTTCTCTGTGGGGCTCCAAGGTTTTCTCTGTGGGACTCTGAGATTTTTTTCCCCTGAGGTTTTTCCTCGTAGGGCTTTAAGGTTTTCTCTGTGGGGCTCTGGGGTTTTTCCTTGTAGGTCTTTAAGGTTTTCTCTGTGGGGCTCTGAGATTTTTTTCCCCAGAGGTTTTCCTTGTAGGGCTTTAAGGTTTTTCCCTGTGGGTCTCTGAGGATTTTCCTTGTAGGGCTTTAAGGTTTTCTCTGTGGGGCTCTGAGGTTTTTCCTCTGGGGGGCTCTGAGGTTTTTCCTCTGTGGGGTTCCAAGGTTTTCTCTGTAGGGCTTTAAGGTTTTCTCTGTGGGGCTCTGGGGTTTTTCCTCTGTGGGGCTCTGGGGTTTTTCCCTGTAGGGCTCCGAGGTTTTCTCTGTAGGTCTTTAAGGTTTTTCCTTGTAGGGCTTTAAGGTTTTTCCCTGTGGGTCTCTGAGGTTTTTCCTTGTAGGGCTCCAAGGTTTTCTCTGTAGGGCTCCAAGGTTTTCTCTGTGGGAATTTAAGGTTTTCTCTGTTTTCTCTGTGCTGATGGATGTGGGCACTGCAGGCAGCACTTTGTGCCTGGCACATCTGCCCGTTTGTGCCTCTCTGTGGTGGGCAGTGCTTGGGAGAGTGCTCAGCCCTTCAGGAAGTGGCTCTGTGGAAATTTGGGATACAGAATTGTGGGTTGCTCACCTCGCTGATGGAGACAATGGGGATTTCAATCTGTGATCCCATTCAGCTGCTGAATGTTCTCATTTGTGGAAGGTTTGGAGAGAAAAGAACAAACTGCTGCTGCAGAAAAGGTGCGTTTGTCTGTGACATAACAGCAACTCACCTTTGCTGCTTTTATCTATAAAACACCAGTGGCTTTATCAATTTTCTTGGTTTACAGGGCAGCTGTTTGCTGGGGAAGGCAGAAAGCCTTGCTGGGATGGAGAATTTAAATTTTCAATGTTTTCACAGTGATAGGAACACAGGAATGACCAACAAAATACACTTTGCCCTCACCTGCAGCCAGCTTTCTCAGCCTCTCCTCTCCAAGCACTGGTCAGGGGAGAATTGTCCTCAAAACTCAGAGCAAAACCTGGAATTTTTGTTTCCTGGCCCTGCACTGAACTTCACTGAGCTTTACCTGCCCTTTACCTGCTCTTTCTGCTCCTTGTCCAGCTTCGTTCACCAATATTAGGAGCAAGTCCAGGGAAAAGGAAGGAAATGTTGTGGTTCCCTGTTTCGGGATCCTCTTGAACACAGGGAGGCTGGGGAGTCTGATTCTGCCCAAAGCCTGGATTTTCTGCAGTAAAAATCTACAAAACTGCCAGGGATGTCTTGCTATTTTATTTTTTTCTTTTTTTTTTCTTTTTTTTTTCCTGATAAAGTGAACACTAATGTGGAAAAACCCAGGTTTCAGAGAAGCCTGGAGAGGAAGGTTTGTGTATTCATCATTAAACATCCCAAAAACGTGGCTAATGTACACAAGTCTTGCCTTTTCCACTGTTTACCTCTCTGGGGCACACGAGCAGCTGCGTGAGGAGACAGGAAACAGGGGCCAAGCTGCTTGAAGGAGACTTTATTAAAACAGGACAAGATGAAAGGCTTGGCTGAGTGTGGACAAGAGCTCACTTTGCCAGGGAATGTGAGGAGGGGAAGGTGGCCCTGTGGGTTCTGCGTGATTGTGACCAGCTGAGCAGTGAGAATCAGGTGCCACAAACTCCCTTTGTGCCACTGCACCCTCCAAAAGCAGAATTTTCAAGGGGTTCTTCACTTCAGAGTGGAAAAAGTTCGTGATAGGATGTTGCATTTTTCACCCAATAAAGAAGTAGCTGGTTCTTTCATTGAAATGTGTTCCTGAAGTGGTTT